TTTGGCCGAAAAATCTCTGGACGCTGAAGAAGCTTAGATAATGATGGACCTGACGATGTTCTGTTGTTGAGATTCTCAACAGCCTCCTTCAAACTCGAAGATTGCGCATGCACAGCATTCATCATGCTTCCTATCACCTCAAGCATTTGAGGTACTGGCATTGCTGAAGCAGCTGAGGCTGGGGACCCCGGATGAGACGGAGTACCTGCTGTGAACGGATTAGTGGCTCCTGAACCCTGTGCTGCCATTGCTCAGACAAACAGACAAGACAGTTCCCAAGGTGCTTTTCACTCGTGATCACTCTCCAAATCAATTGCGCAACTGGACGCAAGCGATGTAGAAAACCTTGCCCTCTTCGGACTGGACCCAAAATCAAGATCACCAAGCTCGGTTCGACCCTTAGAAATTGATTGAAACACGGATGTAGTAGCAGATGAAGAGCTCCTTCTAGCTGTAGCAGCCGAAGAAGAAACCAAGTCTGGATCTCCACTAGTTTCTTGATCAAACAATGGAACAGGTTGCGCAAAATCACGCTCAAACAACTCAAGGTCGCGCTCAAACGAAGATGCTCCCCTGTCTGGATGAATGAAATCTTGCTGGGCTTGCTCAGACAGTGCAAACTCACTCACGTCGTCAAACACAAACTCACGAAAAGCTGCTTTCAGATCTTCACACTTCAAAGTCTTGCGCGCAAACTGGTAAAGCTCGACCACAGAATGCAAGGAATCTAGCTTTATTCAGTTTGCAGTGCATTCAAACTCACAAAACTCCATCAAATATAATCAGACAGAGCAGATTGATCAAACAATCAAAAACTCCATCAAGTATGTATTCACAAAGTCAATTGCACAGTACAGCGGACGCATGATTCTTTCAACGTGGGGAGTCCATTGCCAGGGTCAGGTTTGCCGTGCAAAGAGTAGTGCACACATAGACTGAACATCCTGCAAGACCGATCCCGCACGAAGAGTCCCGCGTGAAACATCCTGCGTGAAGCGTCAAGTTTCCCCTTCCCCGGGTTGGGTGGGTGGGACAAAATTTTCTTTTCCTGCAAGAGCCAACTCACATGCACTCAGAATGTCAATCACATGTGCAAGAAGATTTCGTGAAATCCGGCCACATGAAATCACATGGAGCAGTGAGTTTGGAAAATTGCAACAATTTTCACATGCACTGCATGATTAATAAAACTACCCCCTTTGGGGGAGTTTGTTCTTATTCAGTTTGCAGTGCATTCAAACTCACAAAACTCCATCAAATATAATCAGACATATTCATTGAGCAGATTGATCAAACAATCAAAAACTCCATCAAGTATGTATTCACAAAGTCAATTGCACAGTACAGCGGACGCATGATTTTTTCAACGTGGGGAGTCCATTGCCAGGGTCAGGTTTGCCGTGCAAAGAGTAGTGCACACATAGACTGAACATCCTGCAAGACCGATCCCGCACGAAGAGTCCCGCATGAAACATCCTGCATGAAGCGTCAAGTTTCCCCAGTCATCACGAGGCATGGAGGAGGTTTCCTAGGCTCAGGCGCACACGGAAGCTGGCGGGCAGATGTGCTGTGTCATCACGGGAAGGGGCGTCGGCAGGATTTGATGCACTAGCAATTCGCTCGAACCAAATGTTCAACTTCAAACTCATTGAGTGCTCTCAGCAGCTCCTGCAGGACCGGCGAACTGGAGCTGCTCTTTATCAGAGCCCTCAAGGCAGCATCATTGTCCAGGAAAAGCACCAAATCTGTGTGCACCACCTGAGTGCACAAGTCGAGTACTCCTCGCACAGCAGCAAGAGCTTCGAGTTCATAGATGAACCCGTCCTTGCCTTCCACATTGAGGGAAGAGATTACTTCCTGATCCGGAAGTGAACCACCTCAGGAGGAGGCCACTTGAGTTGCACAGCAAGGCACCCAAACCACCACGTCCATTTTCGAACGAGGCGTCGGTGTATAGGTGCACACAGTTGCGATGGGAGGCTGAAACCACACGGGCATCCCCAAGGACTATCCTATCCCTAAGGTAATTAAGGGCAGCGCGCAAGTCATCGGAGATCGTCACATAGCCTTGGTTACGGCAGGCCGCAGAAAGTGTACGCATGTGTTGGCACGCGAGTCTACCGAAGATCTGATTCTCTGCGAACAACAAACGACCTCTGAGGGACTCGAAAGCCTTCGCAGATGCCCCACCATCGGAAATCATGGAAGCAATGTTGGCTGCAAGCTCAGCTTTGCGTGATTGGGTGTTGCAAACACGGAAAAGGCCTGCACGGGAATCGGCCAAGGAGATCTCTACTCCCAGCGCTCTGGCAACTGCATTAAATGGGGTCTCCTTATCTTTCGAAGTGTGCCACTGCGTGAGATCGAAGAATGAATCAAGAACCATGGTGAGGTGTGGAGCTTCGGTAGCGCAACTCACGACCACGTAGTCGTCGTAAAAAAGGGACCAGTGAAGATCCAGCAATTTCGCCCCTATGTGCCAAAGACAGTGGGAGGATCTATAGAATCCCTGCACCGATGGTCGTGAACCGAACGGTAGCACTAGGCTCTGGAAAATATGGACCGTTTTTTCACTGGGGCACCAAACGCTAAGGAAGGCGTCGTCACGGGCAGACTCAGAAAGGGGAAGCTGCTTATAAGCTTTACGAAGATCGACCGTTTTGGCTACTAGGCTTTCCGACAAGCCCGCAAGTTTGGTCTTCCTGGCACGGAAGACAAGTCCTGCAAGGATAACGTCAACACCGTGAGGCGCGATCGTCTCTTCGCTGAAAGAGGTAAGGTTGGCAAGAGATGCTGTAAAGTCATCTATGGGCCTCACCTTACGCACGCTTCCTTTTTCAGAATCGAAGGATGATTGCACTACCCCAAACCTGCGGGTCAGGACAGATTGGGGCGGAAGGTCTTCTACCGGGATGGGTCCTCTTACCCACCCTTGTTCGACTTCCTGAATGGTAAGATTGTAGACCTCTTGTGCTATTTGCTCATCCTCGGGAGACCTGCAAGCTTCAGCAGTGGCAGCAAGAGTACTGGCTTGATTCTCCTTGGCAACTGCTCTGGGGACGCGAAGGAGGTTTTCTTCGGAAGCACATTAGAAGCCGGGATTTGCCCCAGGAGGTCGAAGCCCTTGCCAATGTCCTCTGGGAGGGCATTATCTCCGTATTCACTGGCCGTAATCAGCTCTCTGAGGAGGCGCATGCACTTACCTTGTAAAAGGGGGGCAGCAGTGTCACAAACGCAAGGATCTGGTCCTAGATCCCTCAACTCCTTGGCACGCAGGAACCACTTCCTCAGGACCTCTGTGCGGTGGCGAGCCGTCGTCACGGGACCCTGATCAACTCTCCTGGAGATGGCTTGTTTCATTTGCTCAGGCAGGGCGCCGGCCAAAGTTTTTGGGCGGTGTGCTTTGCAGGCCAGGCCAACGAATTGATCCGGAGTCCAGGGGTGGGCTGCAGTTGAAACCATCCCGATCATGCACACCGAGGTCGTGAGCCTTCACAATGGGCATTCGGGAACCTTGGCACCAGAGCTATCGGGTCTAAGGGGGGAAACTACCTCAGGGTCACCCCTAGAAGGAAGGGAGGAGACCAACTTAGAGCCGGCAGGGAGAAGGCGAGAGCCTCCGGAGACAGCAACGTCGGCCGGTTGCCAACTTGTTTGGACAAAGAAAGCTGGGCAGTTTTGTGAACAGGAAGGTCTGACAAGAGCAATGACTGCGCAGGACCACTGGCACCGAGAAGGATGAGTTGCTCACGGATGGCACAGGCCATGGCACGACAGAGCATGGGGGGATAAGCCACTTCCGCATGGGTTGCGAAACGGCCCGAAACGGCCGTCAGGCAGCAAACCCCATGGAAGGTGGTCATGAGTGCCATCGCAGAGGAGACCAACCGTCTGCAGCTGGGGAACGCCATGAGCAAACAGGGTGTGCTTGCGACGCTGACTCCCAAACATGCAATGGTGAGCACGTGTCTCGATGTGGGGTAGAGCACGAAGAACTTTCATGGGACTTGTGACCCAGAAAAGACTGCGATTGGGGTTCTCACAAACCCACAATAGGCCGCGTTCAAAGGCAAATTGGATCACAGATGCAGTAAGTTGATACAAAGAGTTGGCAATGCTGACCCGTTTGAAAGAAACACCGGAAAGGTCTTGTAGCCCATCTGGAAAGGCATGACTGCGAAGCGGTTGTGGGGCTGTACGTCCCGGCACAGGGATGGATACCGCAGAAGGTTGCTCGAGGATCCGAAAGAGCAGGGCCTGGCCCGAAGCAGCAGCAAGGTCGATGGTGATGAGAGGACACAGGAGTCCATCAACAGCCTTATGATCCACGCCTTTGCTATGAGCAAGGCCAGCCTTTCTAACGGCAGCACATAGAATCCCGGTTCCACAAAAAATCTCGATGAAAGAGAGGTCCTGCAGGCGCCTGCCAGCCACACGCTGACGGACACGGGAGAGGTACGCTTGCAGAGCGTCAGGCACGGGTTGAGGTATCGAGGTCGGCGGGTCACCCGTATGGGAGTCAGGTCTAGGGAACCCTAAACTAACGAGCAACTCTCGATAGGCAGACTGGCTGGGGGGGCAGCTTTGTATGCAATGAGGATGAGACGATCGGCCGACCAGGGCCGGGTCGCGTGGAGACAGGCCTTTGCTGGCAACCAGGCAGGCTGACTGAGGTCCAGGAGGTGCCCCAAGGATTTGCAGGAACTATCTAGGCTGGGCACGGTTCCCGTAAAAGAGGCGAACCATACTTCTCCATGCTGGAAATTTGAGAGCGGACAGAGCAAGTTGAAGTCACCATGATTGCTTGCATCGCGGTGAAGCGCAGTGCACACATTAAGATTCAGGGACAGGGCGTCAAAGGCAAAGTCAGGAGCAATGGTTCGCACGTATTTTGCCAAAGCAGCAGCGGATGCAGGGAATGCACGAGTGCTATGGCGGAGCCCGTAAACTCCTCCATGACGAAAGGATCCGAACAAAATTTTCGAGCCAGAAGACTCGAGGTGTCTGTTGGCAGCTTCAAAGGGAAGCAAAGAACATAATTGACGCAGATCAGCTGCGCAGGCTTATTTAAAAGACTTTGAGCGAAAACTTCAGCCCGGTGGACGGGCGAAACAGGAGGCCTCTCAAAAGAAAGTGGGTGTTTGGCGTCCTGCACAACACTGTACACAGAGGCTTGAGTTGAGGCGCATGGCACCGGGCAAAATTGGCTGGCACGAGAGTTGCTCGAAGGAGCCTGATCCAGAGCGGGCGCCTCAGCAGTCGTTTGTCACTCGTTGGTTTTATACGAAGGGCACTTGAAGAGGGGATGATGGCCGAGGCAGTGCACGCAGACATGAGAGCCCCTTTTGCAAGCGCCATTGCGACCAAAGTCGCAACCCTTCTGTAGGTTGTAGTTCCAGCACACACGCGAGCCATCTTCGGTGTTGTGTTTGAGGCTTGGGTCAGTCAGACCGGCAGGCAACTTCAAGCCCTTACCTGAGTCCTTGCCCCCTTTCTTTGCATTACCATCTGCAGTGCGCTTCTGGCCCTGCCCACCTTTGCTGCCGCGACCTCGGCCCTTATTACCTCCTTTAAGAGATGGACCTGGCAAAGGATTCAAATGGTACATGACTTTGGGCACGCTGGCAAGCTCATCCAGGGCTTTGTCCATGCGAAGCGCACCTGAGGCATCTCTCTTAAGGGAAGTCAAATGCTCGGCCATATATACAAAGGCCGCCCGATCACAACGCAGAAGTTGTTCCATGCTGACACGACTGTAGTGCGGAGGGGGATGTTCGGACAAATGACCAAGGAGTTTACGATGCCACTTGTCCATCACGGAAAAGGAACAAAGCTGCATAACGTCGCATGCCAACGCGCGCCTTGAGAGCGCCTCTGCCAACTGCAATTCCGTCTGCAACGAAATCTTGTCCTTGTAGGCACGGTCTTTTCCTCGAGGATTCATCCAGCGTGAGCTCCTTGCCTGGCTTGTCCCTCAAAACCTCAGAGGCTCTGGTGAGGAATCGGTGCGGCTCCAGGTAGCTTAAGAAGTCCTGATCTAGCACAGCGCCTACATAGGCATAATTGCAGAAAAGCATTTTCGTAAGGTCCGGTGAGCTCAAGTCCTGCAAGTCTTTTCTTTTGATCGTTGATCCTTGCTTGGCGCTTGGCTGGTGCCAAATCGGTCTTCTTGTCCGACTCACCTTCAGGAGAGTTCTTCAACGTGGTGACGCACAGAGCCTGCGCTTCGAACATAAGTTGGCGCATCGAAGACACTGCACGCACCGCAACAGAGGCAGAAAGGCTATTCAAGCCTTGATCCAGCAAGGACTTCACCTCATCATCCGTCAACCCACTTTCACGGGCCCTCTCTTTGAAAGTAGCCTCGCTCTTCAGCAAGGAGGTCATGGCTCAGACTCTAGCTTCCGGAGCCGATACTCCAGCCGGTTCCAGCATGATCCGCGTAAGTCAGAACATGTTCACATGAATGACTGACAGTCCTGCAATTATTTGAAGGTCCAGCATAATCCGCGCAAGTCAGAACATGTTCACAGATTGAAACAAGGTCCCGCAAGTAACAGGTGGTCCGGCAGACCCACCTTGCCTGCAAGGTGCAGTACAAGTGTTGCACAATCCCGCAAGGCTGGTTGTCTCGTCCCGCAGGTCCGGCAGTTAAGCTTTGCGCAACCTGCTCCGGCAAGTCCCGCACGATACATGAGAGGTTCACATCACACAAGTTCGATCACTGAGCAAACATGGGTGACAATCGATTAGACTTCAGCAAGCACTTCAAATTTATTTTTTTCCTAGGCAGTCCGGATGCGCTTCAAAGCTGAGTCCAGTGCTTCAGTAAGCGCACCACTATTGGCCTTCCATTCTTGCATTGACGGCGCCACCAAGATTCAACCATGATCTGGCTGGAGAAAGGTTTGTGATCTGAGCTGTTCATCAGACGGCCGCACACAAACCTGCCCTTTTGGCAGGAGATGGAGTGTGTTCGTCCGCACATGCTGATACGTGCTGCACAAGTCGTCTGCATCCTCTGGCACCTGCGGCAGGGATTCTTGACAATCCTCCAGAGCATCGTCAATACCCTCGCTGTCTGTGGAGTCTGAGCTGCTAGACGACGAGCTGTCGGAGGATGACTCAAGATCACTGGGGAGGGCCTCTTCCGCTCCCCCCACCACACTGAACGACTCAGGCGCCTGCGAATCAGCTGTTGGAGACTGGGTAGGTTCCACAGGTTCCTCACATACGCTGCCCTGTGCTGTATGCAGCAGGTCCTCGATGTCCTGCTGTGAGATATCTTCACGAGCCGCTTCATACCATCTATCAGCGGCTCGTCTGCTGCCTCGACAGGCTTGGGAGACACAACGGGAGCGCACAGCATTCCAGAATGTGTGGAGTCCGGAACAAACCTGCCTGCACGGATATCTGCGTAGGCCGATGCTAATTCCCTAAGTGGGAATGATTGCTCGTCCCTGCTGTATGTTAGGACAGCGGTAGAACCTTTAGGGACGTGGTGTCCAAGTATGCGCCGGCTGAGTTCGGAACAATTGATTTTCGACATCCAAGACAACGCTGTGCTTTTGCGGAATGCCCAGTGAGGCCACGGCCTAAACCATCAGGCGAGGAAGCAAGAATCTCCCGAACCCATTTGGAGAAAGCGCACCCCTTGATGGGAAAACCTGACAGTGCCCCATTCTCGAGTGGTGCCTGCAGTATGGGACCTCCATGCGGGATGGCGGTAAGCGGTGCACCAAGTTGTTCAGCAACTTTGCTCCATGTGACACCCCATAAGGATTTGCTAAGACCCTTGGTCGGGGCGACCAGAAACATCCTGAGTCCCGTTGCAAGAGTAAATCGACGACTCTTGTGCGACAACGAAACCATCTGAATGAACCCCTCGCCGGATGGCAAGAAATCAAGGATCACTTCACAAACTTCTTTAAGATCACCCAATCGAGCTCGACTGTGTACGGCAAACAAGAAAGAGCCGGCAGCGTATCTGTCAAGCAATAAGTTGCATTCATTCTCAAGATAATCTTCAAGAAAGACTACTTCTTTGACCCAGAGCGCACGGGCCTGCTTCCGGGGTGGGCGCTCCATCCTGGCTCGTCTGACGCGCCCTTGCAAAATCGGATGCCTCAAAACTTGGGGGGTCCCCAGGACAAAATGTCCAAAGTTACACGCTTCAAGGGTGCCGGCGAGGGCACTGACAGGGCGTTTCTCTTTACGAAGGTGGGCAGTAAACTCCAGCAAAACTTGCTCATCAATAGGAAAGGCAGACATGTTTTGTGAGGTGCACCACACGACCAGCTTGGTCAATGCAAACAAACGCTACTTCAACGTGCTATTGGCCTTCCCTTCCAGAGCTTCGGCAACGAGGGCTACCCTTTCCCTGCGGCCCAGTCCACAAATGGTCCTCCCTAACGAGGAGGCTGAAAAAGCATGCGCGAGAAGCAGCTCAAAGCGCTGGGCGATCAAGTTGCGGGTCTCATCGGGTGATATCTTAACCTTTGCTGCACGCAAGCTAACTGCGACAACCTTGAAGGCGCAAACACCAGGCACCGTATGGGTAAAGCTGGCAGCAGCAGCCTCATAAGTAGGGGCTTCGCTAGGGAAGTCGCAAAGGGGCACAGGTACAGCAGGAAGGGGATCAGGCAATGTTTCACTAGTGAAGAGCTGCTTCATATTCCCCGTCTCCCATGGGAGCTGAAATGGATGACACTGCTTCTTTGCCAGAATCAACATGCGAGAGAGACATTCAGACTCATCACTCCTAGACCCCACGTTAACGGATGAGGCTGGCAGTCACTTGCAAGAGCCAACTCACATGCACTCAGAATGTCAATCACATGTGCAAGAAGATTTCGTGAAATCCGGCCACATG